GAATTATGTATAAAAAGGGAACTGGTGCCAAGAGCGTCAGTTCTGACACAGCTTCATCTATGCTTGAAACCTCTTTACCTCTCAATAAACAAATCACTGCCAAGAGAATGTTGTTGGGAGCGAGTTTTGTTCAAGACCTGAAAGGAAGTCCTGAGATTTCCACACCTATCAAACTCACTCTTACAGCCATCTTGTAAGGCAAGTTAGCCTGAAAATGTGACTGGCTAAAAGGCATCGCAAGAGCTTCCAGGCCTACTGTAGATATAAACCCAGACCCACCAAGCCACAACCCGACACTCTGGCTCTTGAACGTCACTGACCCACATCATGGATGAGGGCAAACTCAGTTGGCTTCACTCATGGGAATAAGACGTGGGCTGAGGTGCAAATCTCAAGGTTCTGGAAGAGGATTTACTTTATATACAACTGAAAAAATACATGCCCCACTAACCTCTGACATATTTAATGAAGCCCAACTCAGTAAGAAACCCTCCACAAAGCCCATTATTATAACTATTTAACATATGGCATAGTTACACACAGGAAGCATATCATAATATAAAATATGTAATTAAGTTGATACAATGGGTATGCAGACCGATTAGGCAATCCCCCTAAATACGAAAATCTGAATTTTCAATCCACTCAATCACAGCTGGGGAGAGTTCAAAGAGCCCACAAAGCACAGAAAACACAAAGTCTAATTCAACTGATACAAATAATAGTTTTAATGAGCTGTGACTCTTTCTCAGTTGCGTTTCGTTTTCTGTGATTTAAAAAGAAGCACTTAAACTAGGGTTGCCAACTGCCGGGGGGGGGGAATGTGAGGTCCCTTCCAATGTTCCCTCTAAGCTGTGGAGTCTTGTGAGCAAAAATTCTACTTTGTGAGCTGCTGGCATTACAGTTGTGAGCGAGCGATTTAGCTACTGCATAAATTTGCTCTGGAGTCCATCCCTTCCTGAGCTGAGACAGAAAATGTGTGAGCTGGAGGCTAAAAAAATTGTGAGCTAGCTCACACTAACTCAGCTTAGAGGGAACACTGGTCCTTCAACAGAGGCTCTACGGAATGTTATTTATCTTTTCAGATACCCATTTCGACACACATTAAGCCTCTGGGAATGAGGGAGGATATTTTTTTCTCTTCCGGCCTCTTACCAACTCCAATTCTAAGGAGGAAGACATGGGGGGAGGACGCCTTGACCCAGGGCTCAGTCCAGGTCATTCCCAGCACATGCATGGGTGGTGGCAGTGGTGGTGTTCCGAGCAGGAGGAGGGAATCCTACTTCTCCCTCCTGATTCTCTATGTGAGTATTGTTACCATGTGTGTTTTAAATGTATTATTTGTGCTGAGGCTGTATGTCTGTAAAGTGCTTGTGTGTATGTGGGCTGTGGGAAATGGTGTTTTGAGGTTTGCTTGCTTGCATCCCATGTCTGCACCTGAAAGCTGCAAGGAGCCAGGCTTGTGCTGCCTATGCTAATAGCCATGTGCACCCACACCTTCCCAGCATGCATCTGCATAAAGAAGGCATTCGCCATGGAACTCAGCTTGGAGACCTTGGCAAACGACAAGTCTCCCACCATTACAGGACCTTGGAATCTCTCGTAACTCCAACTATCTTGGTGCTGCATCACAAGAAAACATCCTGTATGGCCTGCCTGGACCAAGGCATCGATCTACAAATCAAAGGTTTCCATGGAGATATGGCTTTCACACCTTACCACATGGCTCTGCTTTGAAGTTAGGTCTAAAATTTGAATATTGCCCCCTCCCCTATAGGTAGAGCGTCACAAGTCGTCAACTTACAGGTTTAGCAAGGGGACGGATTTTTAGGATTTATTGGCCTTAAGCCAAGCCCAAAAGCTAGGTCTTAAAAAGAGGAACACAGCCTTTGTTTCTCTGGTTAACCCATCTCCCCCATCTAAGCAACTTAAGTGCGCTACAGGTGATTCTGAAGGTGTTCTCAGAAGTCGCGATCTGAGAACCCACACGTGTACTAGCTGGACTAGCCCGTGTGATATCAGGGTCCCTAAAGTGATACTTTACTTTCCCCATGCGTCTACTGAGGCTGAGAAGAGGTATCTCCCTGGAACTCAGATAAGTATGAGCACTACCCTTTGAGTCTTACCCCATTGTGTAACTTGCTTTATTGCTTTTGTTACTATTTGTTTCTGTATCTATTGTAACCTGCAGGAGGCTTGTTTGAATCTGCGTGTGTATCCGTTTTTGTATGCTTGAGAACTCTTTAGTAAAGGCAACATTTATTCATTAAACCTAGCGAGTTGTCTCATCCCTGGGAAATAGGAGCGTTCACTTCCGTACTCTGACCTCTGTATACAATTAGTCACAAAGAACTCAAAACAAACCCACTGCTGTACATAAAGCAGAATTGGGTTCGTGGAATCATCCTCTCGCTGAGTGGACCTCCATGCATAACAGTATCTGGGGGTGGGGTGGGAAGGACAACTTGGATTGGGGAATTCGATGGATTAAGGGACACAGCCTTTCCCTTTCAACCCCAAATAAACCTACTGCTAGAATGCTTTGGGTTTCAAAGTGGTGAGACCCCTACCAAGATCACAGCAGGCTGGACAGGGGAGGGATTAGGGTTGAGAAATGCCTCTCTAAAATTGCTTGTCAGATAAAAATATTTGTGAATTTAGGATGCCAGCTGGTCACACTATGGTTATACCAGTGGGAGAGAGGCTGTAGATGTCTGTTAGCCTCTCAACTTGTCTATTGCTTTATACAATTTGGGTAAGGAACTGTTTTTGCCAGTTTTAAAGATGCCAAAGAATGGCAGATAACCTAAAGTAGCAATTTTGAAAGAGGAGAGGGAAAACTAAAAAGGCCTTTCTTTATGTAACTACGTTCGCAGCCTTTCTGATCCTCCAGCGCCAGGGTGTTTGAACAACCTCATCAGAACCAACTATAGGGAAGTTCCACCCTTGTGTGGATTCTCAGAGGAACCTGACGATCGGCTCTGTGCCTCAAGCTCTTTCCACACACTGAGCATTGATAAGGTTCAGCCCCTGAGAGGTCTCCTCGATGTTAAAGGAGAGATTTGCTGATCCTTCATCCAGCAGAGCCCTTTGCCATTCCTCGCTTTCTTACCTTTGGGAACTTTCCAAGGTTTTGAACATGGCTAAAGCTCTTTCCACACTCTGAGTATTTCTGTGTCGGTTCAGC